GCTTCCTAAGTATCTTAGAAGGCAGGACGAAGGCATGGTTCTCAGACAGAAGATGGGTGGAAAGTCCTACCACACTCAGTAAAACGAGTCTGCTAACCCTCCCTGACCTTGCAGTAGCTGGGAGCTTCATTCCCGAGAAGCCACAGATTCAGAGATACCAGGCACGGAAGAGAATAAGGATGAGAGCAATGACATAAGACACTCAAGTCTTCTTCATTCATCGGATACCTGTAACAACGGCAACCAGGTGCACGCTTTCCAGACAGAACGTCAGGTAATTTGTTCTCTACACGAAATTAAAAGTTTGGCCCTAGAGAAATTAACGGCCACATCCTTGATCAATTCTGCAACAGTGAGGCCCCCATTTAACAACTCTGACACACACACACTAGAATTTGCATTTTGTAATAATCCTTTTAGTACTTCATTTTTATGTAAACTGGTAATTTAAGACTATTAAACATCAAAAAAGAAAGCGTTTAGCATAAAATACAGAGGAAAAATAGCTAAGAGTAAAATGGCACTTGAAGGAAACAGCGCTAGTGCATACAGCAGGAAAACAATCCAAAAAGCTGTCATTAACACCTTAATAAGCTAAGAGAAGACATTGCATCCATGAGAAGGATAAAAATACACGAATGAGAGATTTTTAAAAGCTTATGACAACTGCAATTTGGTTGCATGCATTAAATATTTAAGAGATAAACTGGAAGATAAATTAACAGAAATCTTCCAAAATTCTGAGGGGGTGGAGACAACTACAGGAATTTGGAGAGAAAAGATAAGAAATTAGTTGTTTAGTCCATAATTTTCAATACCTAATTAGTAAGATAAGAGAATGGGAAAGAAGGAAAAATAAAAGGCAGAAATTAGCAAAAATAAAACAAACCAAAACAAAAAGCAAAAAGAAATCTTCCTCCCCAATAAAAGCCTTGCTGACCTGGGAAGATCTGAGGCGGTATTCTGAAAGAGATTAATGAATATCTAAGATAATAAACTAAAAAATGACCACATTAAATTGTATTACTATGAAACACTAGAGCCTCATGTGGTAGGGAGGCTCTGAAAGCTTCCAGAATGAAGAAAAAAAAGGTCACATAAAAAATGATTAGGAGTAAGAATAGCATCAGATTTCTCAACAGTAACATCTGAAGTGAGAAGACAACATTTAAACCTAGAATTTGCTGTCTAGTCAAATAAATTATGATGTCAAAGAAAATATAACACAAGTATAAGAATATATGCTTGTGTAAGTACAAGTATAGGGATATTTCAGATATAAATCATCTCTAAGATATCTATGTTTCCTTTATCAGGAGGCTAGTAAGGGTATGCTCCAGGAAAATGAGAGTGCAAACTGAGAAAGGAAAAGATTTGAAATGCAACAGAGAATTCAAAATAGAATGAGAGATATGGCGTCTCGGGAAGACAGTGAGGAAAACTGCAACATGAGATCGGATTTGACAAGATATCAGACCTGAAAGATACATTCTATATAAATCCACTGATTATTCAATAGTAACATAAATCAGAAAGGTAGTTGCCTATGGAAACTGCACTGGAGGATGGATTGGGTATGGGTTTAAGAAGGCTGTCTAGAGTAATAAAATGTTCTGCATTTTAGTGCATGTTTGTTACGTGGATGGATACAATTGTCAGACTACATTGTTATGGGCTGGATTTCTTCCCTCTCCACTAACTCCCAAATTCATATGTTGATATCCTAATCCCCTGTAATTCAGAATGTCACTGTATTTGGAGATAGGATTTTAAAAGAGGTAATTAATGTTAGATGGGGTCATTAGTATAAGCCCAGATTCAATATGACTGGTGTTTTTATAAGGAAATTAAGAAAGAGACACACTGAGGAAGACTATGTGAAGATGCTGGAAGAAGACAGCCATCTGTAAGTCAAGGAGAGAGGACTCAGAAGAAATGACTGCCATCACCTTGATCTTGGCCTTCTAGCCTTCAGGACCATGAGACAATGAGTACCTGTTATCTAAGCCACCTAGTTGGTGGAATTGGTTATGGTAGTCGTAACAAACTAATACAACAGAAGCAAACACTTAAGATTTGTGCAGTTCACTTTAATTAATTACATATCAACCAAAGAAGAAGGAATAGAAGGAAAATGAGGAAGAGGAAGAGGAGGAGGAAGAGAAAAAGAAGTGGACTGGGGAAGAGAAATGAAGATGGAATTGTGCCAGAGTGTTAAATCCTGATACAGAAATAAATCAGGAAATGATAACTACAGCTGGTGAATTACATTAGAGAATTAAGGGACACGAAAAGCACATCGCTGAGAAACACAAAGACACACGCCAGAAAAGAAGTAACAGCTAAAGGCAATGACATGGGAGTCTAAAGGGAATGGGAGCAAGCTTTGAGGAGGGGCAGGGAAGAGTCTACTGGTTTTGTCATGAGCCTAACTGGTACTATTTCACTTTTAAAAACTAACGTGCATGTAATAATCTGGTGAAATTTTGAATTAATTTTTAAAATAAACACAAATCTGTTCTTTTGAGAAAAACGGAGAAACAAATGACCATCAGAAGGAGGCTGAACACAACGTCAAGGAGTGGATTTCTGAGCCCTTGGCCCGCAACCCCAGAACCCCTCCGGCATAAGTTCAATTATGTGGGGATAGCAGAGGCACAGCAGTATTTCCCAGGGAGACGGGAGTTTGAGACCCTTCTTCCAGATCTGCTACAAACTGGCTAGCTCTCTACAAATGATCAATTTCCAGTAAAATGACTTTAAGAATCATCTAAAGTCACCATTACTCACTCAGCACTTAAAAAAATTTCAAAGAACTTGCTAACTATGGCCAATTCTCATCATCTGCAGTACTTAACTTTCTAGAAAGGTACTGCAAACACTGAATTCGGGAATATTGTAATATTACTTTCAGGAAAACTATAGGTTTAGGTTCTTTTGAGAACCTAAGAATATTTTTGTCAACTCATCAGTATGTAACCTTGTTTTCTACACGTTCCTGTTCAAAGACACCTTATTTAATATCATCGATGATTGATTAACATTGAACTCATGGCCAACAGCCTTGCAATGCATGTCTGAATGAAGCCCATCTGACACATGTATTTTCACCGTGTGGCACATCGCAGCCCTCTTGCACTTAGGAACACAAGATGGCACTTCAGCACTATATATGGGACCATTTTAAACTGCAAAATCACCAACGGAAAGCAAAAACCATGCAAAAAAAAAAAAAGTGGCATTTATTTGATCACAAAAGGGACACTTGGTTACAATATGAGAAATGAAATAAGAAGACAGTGCTTCTCTTGCTCAGCCTCTGCTGGGAACATGTGCTCCTGGACACTGCTTGTATGTGGGCAGGTCTGCAAACGACTGTAAAGACACTCTGGGTATCAATTTCGGGTTACAGATAAATTTTAACAGGTAAATGAATTTGCAAAAATATATTCTACAAGTAATAAGGACCAAATATTATTATACAACCAACATATTTAAGTATTTTTAGAGGAACTTAGCTACTAAATAAAACTAATCTGATTATTTAAATTGTTAGAATATACTTGAAA